CAAGGGTCTAGTGCGAAATAGCACAAAAGAGCTGCTTGGTACACCAACAGACGCTGGGTGGGTGGAGAGGGCAGCGTGTCACCGTCATGGAACAACTCAGGCAGGCGGTTGAGGTCCTCAGCCCCACTGGCCCTGGTGCATGTGCGTAAGACCCTCTGGGCACTGCCTGTCCCCTCTCCTGCACTCGTACCTCTCCTGGAGGGACCTCCCTCTGTACAGATGCCTCCTGCCCGTCCCTTCCACCTCCGGCCTCCAGTGGGCTCCCTGCTCGCTCTGATCCGCCCCCGCTGCCAGCAGAGGGAGCTTCCAGACCCTCAGGGCTTCCTTCCTCACCAACCCCACTGGCTCCCAGCTGCAAAAACAAATCCATGACTTAACTCCCTCTGATGGGCTGCAGTGTGGAGGGCTCTGTAAAGGATGCCCCAACATTTCAGAGTTCCTGTTGTGATTTTAAAAAAAGCTCTTCAAGCACTGATTTTTCAACCAAAGAAAAAAGCTGGACCAGAAGTTTGTGGGGATAACTCCTCCCCTAGGGAGGACAAGTCAATGGATGTGTTAATATGCCGCAGTTTCGGGCATGGAAAGGACTACTCACTACTAGTTGCACTTTGGTAATACTGACTTCACTAACCTCAAGAATTTGAAAATCACGAGGCCGGCAGGTGGCGTGGTGGTTAAGGGCGCTGGACTCCCACATGGCTGCCTGCGGTTCGAGTCTTGGACCTGGCGGCTTGCTTTCTTACTTTCCCTCTCTGTCTCTCTCTGGGTGAGCACATATGCCCTAGAGCAAATTTGATGGAAAGTAGTATTAAACAAAACCAAGTCATTTTTTAAAAAAAATTATGGATTCTACAATATTTCATAGAATTATTTGTTTAAAATTTTGCCAGTGGGTGTGCACGCTTGCCAGAGACAGAGACAGAGGGAGAGGGAGAGGGAGACAGCACCCCTCCCCACGAGGCGTTGACATGCCACAATCCCTCTTTCTCATTTCTCCGTCTTGTGAGGATTTGGGGCACACAGGCCCACGTGTCCAGCGTGTTTTTCAAGCCACCCGGCTCGGGGATTGGACTGCATGCTCAAACACGTGGGGGTAAGGGTTAAGCTCCCTTAACCACTAAGACACAGGGCTGGCCCTCCATTGCATATTTAAACATGATTACAAAAATGAATCAGATTGGGACCAGCAGTTAGCGTAATGGCTATGTCACTGGACTCCCATGACGCTCTTTCTACCTGGTCACTGTGAGACCAGGCGTGACCAGTTCCCTCCTGCTGCTGCCGGGCCTTTTCCTGGACGAGGCGGCTCTTTCCTTTCCTGACTACACAGAAAGAAACACGTCTACACTTCACGCACACGCGAGGGGAGAAACACATGGCCGGTCTACGAAGCCTGCGTGTTCTCTCGGGTAATTATGACCCCCTTGGCAGTCCATATCAAACACTGCCTGTTACAGTGTCATCAGGAACATGTACCTTTGGACCTAAACGTGTCTCGATTATGCGGGATAATGAAAACAAGGCATTTACACCTCAGTTACAACCATCGGTCCACTGGGAGCTCTTCTAAACTGCTTCCCTGGGCCCCTCCGCCTGCTGGCCCTCAGCCAACTCCTGCTACTTAGAAGCAAGACGACACTGAGCCACAATAAGATGCTTCCATCGGTGAGCCTCCGAGGAGCCATGGAACAGAGGAAAGTATGAGGGACCCCTGGCAGCAGCGGCAGTCAGACAGACTTTCTTTTCTTTTTTTTTTTAAAATGTCTATAGGGTATGTGTGCTTAGCAGAGAAAGCAGAGATGGGGACAGGGAGAAAGCACCTTCTTGGGGTGCTGTCCCCCTTCAGTCCTTTCTCCTCCATTTCTCCAGCCTGTTGGGATGTGGGGCGGGTAGGCACGTGTGCCCAGGGTGTTTTTCGAGCTGTCAGGCTGCGATCCAAATTACAGCTGGCCATGTAGAATCTGGCTCCCTGAACCAATAAGCCATGGGGTCGGTCCAAAAGACCTATTTCTAAAGGTTAACTGTTTTATATTGATCTCTCTAGTGCAGACAGAAAAGAGGAAGCGGTATTCCTTTTTAACCTATTAAAGCTCAATTCAGCATAGAGTTCCATAAGAAGAAGCTTACCAGATTTGTCTTTCTGAATAGCTTTATCCTCAAAGTAGCAGAACATTACCTGGAAGCGATCGGGATCTGTTGAACGCAGTACCCTACCGAGGAGAACAGCTTTAAATAAACGTCAAATAGTCCACGCCCTCCCTTACCCCAGACGGGAGGCTGCCCAGAGCTGCTGAGGCCCTGAGGAACAGAAACCCTCCGCCGTGTACAGGGGCATACACCGACGCGACTTCGGAATGTTCCTGTATTCTTTAATCCAGCAACTCCACCGCTAGGGGTGTAACTTGCGGGTTACCAGCACAGGACTCTCATCACAGCGCTGACCGTGTTACCCAAAACGGAAACAATCTGAACGCCCTGCCTACAGGAGACAGGTCAGACGCGCTCAAGTGTACCCCTCAATGACACCAAAGCACTGTCAT